ATTGGCAAATCTTCGCAGGCGCGGCAGGTCCTTCACGTTCACTTATTGTTTCTTTCTTGCTATCTCATTTCTTTCGTCTTATCATTACTTTTGCTTGATTTGTTTTCGTGATGTATTGTTCCTACTCATTTTTTGCTAACTGTTTTATTTATTTCTACATGTTCCTATATTTTTTCGACATCCCGATTCTTCATTTCTGGGTTGGACGACTGACTGTGATTTATGAAATATAAATATATGAACTGGGATAACTCAATCAATCAAATGCAGTAACTTTAATGTTGAAAAGGTTTACCCGTTGAGCAAGATGTCTAATCCTCATTCTCTCACTCTTGAAGGCGTTCCAGCGGATGAGGACAGCCTCCAACGAGAGCTTTGATGAAAACCTCATCATGTGGAACAAAGGCTATCGCGGGCGGCGTTTCTCCATGCCTCCTGCCATCGACATAACGCCTCCGCCGCCGTCCGACCAGGGTAAGGCAGAGGATTCTTACCTTGTCCGTCAGTCTGGTTCTGGTTCTTCCGATAACGGCCCTGTAAGTCACTCGCCGATCCTGTCGGTTGATCTGGATGAAAACTCAATAGAGATGAAGTGTACTCCGCATATCCGGGGTGCAGCAAGTGAGAGCGTTGAGGATGTAAGTGACATAATGTATGGGGTTCCTCAAGGGGTTGAAAATAATGACGAACAAGAAGAAATGCGTGAGACTGACTCAGCGAATCAAGAAGAAATAAAAAGTCCAAATGACTGTGAAATAACCAACGAATCCCCTGAGGAGCAGAGGGACGAATGTGGTTCACCAAACGACAAAACAATAAATGAACACATTATGGAAACACAGCAGTCTGACTCTAGTGATGACGTTTGCGCGGCGAGTACGGAGGATGAAGGAACCGATGGACAGCACACAGGAATAAAGAAAGGAGCAAATGGCGATAAGGAAAAGAACAAGAAGAAGAAAAGAGAAAGAAAGAAGAAATCTAAAGGCATCTCCGTAAACTCAACTCAACAATTTGGGCATCGCTGCGAAAATATTATCAACATGTGTGACTTCATTATCGAACACAGCCCGAAGAAAGATGCTCTTAGGACGCTTGAAGTTGCATCGCACATAATAAACTACAAATTTGCAGAAGTTTCGGAATCTTCCTATTCCATACCAACAACAGATACAAATTCTAACGACGAAAAAACAATAGTGGACGATGACAATGAGATACTGGAAACGGTTGTAGATGATAAAGGTAATGTCCTAAGGATGAGTCTAAGCAGCAGTGATTCTGACAGTGATCTTGCTGAAGCCGTTGACACTATTGCAGTGAATGATAAACTCGTGCAGAATGACCTTGAAACTTACGTAGATTTGTCTTTGGATAACAGGTTAGATAATTTTTCAGTAGAATGTCAAAAAGAACTTGTAAATGAGGATCAGAACGGAAACATGAAACTCGCATCAGATAAGATGGAATGCTCTGAGACGCCTATATTAAATGATAAGGAAGAACATGAGAAGAGTCTATTCCATGATAGAACAGACTGCAAATACCTTCCTGAAGATGATGTACGGAATAATAGCAATTTCCATTTCAGTACTATAAACAGCCATGATCTTCAAACAAATGATTCATTAATTTCACAAACAGTTTTAGAGGATGAACCACAGGGAGACATTTTAAAAGATCTGGAAGAACCATCATTGGATATGGACCAGGGGAGGAAAAACTTTGGTCATAATTCCGAATCTTTGGTTATCCCAAATCTGGTTGTTATTCAGGACGAAGCACAAGGCGAGTCTGATATCACTGATAGTGTCAGCGATAACTATACTGGGGATAGTCATATGGACTATTTGCAGACAATTGATGAAGAAACGGAGCCAAATTCAATGGTGGATGACGAACGCTACCTCTCTGAGGGAGACATGTGTGAACAACCCCTTGAGGACCTACAATACAATTCAGAGACAGTTAATGACTTGTCAAATGAATGTCAGGAAGCGGGAGTACGTACTGCTTTGGATAAATCTGGAGATACTAAAGCTGCATTGCAAGAGTTTTCTGTAGAAATAGCAAACAAACTATCTGCAGAGTTTGAGAGAAATAGAGAAACCATTGAAAGTCTTGGAGACCAAATGTTAAATACAGAAGACGAGATGGAAGCTTCAAATATGGTATCAGAGGTAAATAAAGAAGAAATAGAATTTATTGAAAACATATCAGAGCGACTCAAGGATCATACAATCAACAATCAACCATCACAGGAAGATCAAGAACCCTTGAAACTTGAAACAAAACTTCCATCTTCTATAGAAGAGGATCTATCGTTTACAAGAATTTCTAATCTAGATGCTGTGCAGCAAAGTGGTAATGAAATATTATGTGAGGAGAGTGACATTAACTTTACAAATGAAGCCCTTGACTTGCCAAATGAGAATGAAACAGGACGCATAGGAGATTTAGGTGGTACTTCATTACAGATAAACAATACTTGGTCACCGACTAAGGATGATCAGTCGCGACAGGTAGAACCACTGCTGGAAAAGGAAGAATCACTAGGCCTATGTGCAAGTGATGAAACTGTGGAAACGGATAAAAAATTGCTCAATAAGGAATGCCATCTCTTAGACGGAAATGATACTTCAGTCATAACAAAAAAACAGAGAGAAGCAGTGCTGTCAATACCAGGTGTAGTAGAGGAGGTGGATGTAGTGGATGCCAACTGTAATATTTCCCTAACCAAACAAACTGGACTAAAGGACACAGTGATTGAAAAAAATACAACAAACTTAAATGAAAAAGAAAGGATTGTTTCTACAGAGGAAACAAAGCGACATCTGGAGCCATCACCAGTTAATTCGGGAAGTGTAACGTCTTCATGCAGTTTACCACCCTCTCCTATGTCTGAAGAAGTGGCACTCCTAACATCCTCATCGGGCGGAACTCACAGATCATTGGGAATGGAACACAGAAATAAATCAAAAGTTTCTGAACAAAAAGATCGTTATTTCATCCCAATAGAAATACCCAAAGATTTAACTCTCAGTGATAAGGTTAAACGGAGAGAAACAAGGTCAGCTGCTGCAATAGTGACAACAGGATCTGTGTCAAGGTACAAAGCATTGTTTGAAATGAAGTCGGTAGATGAAATATCTGTTATGCATAAAGAAACTGATGTAAAAGAAAGTAAGTACAAGTATCAGAAAAAAGAGAACAAAGACACATTGACATTTAAAGCCATATGCGTAAATCTCACCTTTGAAGAGGAAGAGGAGAGAACTAATGATGAAGAAATTGTGGTTGAAAAGATGACCAATGAATGCCATGAAAATACAGAGGGCAGTGAAAGCAAGAGCATGAACACAAAGCCTGATATTGCAAATATTAAACAAATTAAAGAAGAAGAAAAACCTGATGTTTCAAACGGTAAACAAATCAAAGAAGAAAGGCTTGATATTTCAAACGGTAAACAAATCAAAGAAGAAAGGCTTGATATTTCAAACGGTAAACAAATCAAAGAAGAAAGGCTTGATATTTCAAACGGTAAACAAATCAAAGAAGAAAGGCTTGATATTTCAAACGGTAAACAAATCAAAGAAGAAAGGCTTGATATTTCAAACGGTAAACAAATCAAAGAAGAAAGGCTTGATATTTCAAACGGTAAACAAATCAAAGAAGAAAGGCTTGATATTTCAAACGGTAAACAAATCAAAGAAGAAAGGCTTGATATTTCAAACGGTAAACAAATCAAAGAAGAAAGGCTTGATATTTCAAACGGTAAACAAATCAAAGAAGAAAGGCTTGATATTTCAAACGGTAAACAAATCAAAGAAGAAAGGCTTGATATTTCAAACGGTAAACAAATCAAAGAAGAAAGGCTTGATATTTCAAACGGTAAACAAATCAAAGAAGAAAGGCTTGATATTTCAAACGGTAAACAAATCAAAGAAGAAAGGCTTGATATTTCAAACGGTAAACAAATCAAAGAAGAAAGGCTTGATATTTCAAACGGTAAACAAATCAAAGAAGAAAGGCTTGATATTTCAAACGGTAAACAAATCAAAGAAGAAAGGCTTGATATTTCAAACGGTAAACAAATCAAAGAAGAAAGGCTTGATATTTCAAACGGTAAACAAATCAAAGAAGAAAGGCTTGATATTTCAAACGGTAAACATATTACAGAAGATGAAAAGCTTGAAAATACAAGCAGCAAACAAATTAAAGAAGAAGAAAAACCTGATGTTTCAAACGGTAAACAAATCAAAGAAGAAAGGCTTGATATTTCAAACGGTAAACATATTACAGAAGATGAAAAGCTTGAAAATACAAGCAGCAAACAAATGAAAGAAGAAGAAAAGCCTGATGTTTCAAACAGTAAACAAATTACAGAAGATGAAAAGCTTGAAAATACAAGCAGCAAACAAATGAAAGAAGAAGAAAAACAAGAAGAAAGGCTTGATATTTCAAACGGTAAACATATTACAGAAGATGAAAAGCTTGAAAATACAAGCAGCAAACAAATGAAAGAAGAAGAAAAGCCTGATGTTTCAAACAGTAAACAAATTACAGAAGAAAGGCCTGATATTTCAAACGGTAAACAAATTGCAGAAGATGAAAAGCCTGCTATCTCAAACAGTAAACAAATTAAAGAAAAGTTTGACAATTCAAACAGTAAACAAGTTAAAGAAGACGAAAGGACTGATACTTCAATCATTGATCTAATGAAAGAAAAGTCACATGCCCCACAAACGACATTTGCTCCGCCAATTATACCACCTGATATGGATTTACTGAATCAGTTCAGAGTTAATACAAGCAGTGTGGGACACAAGCAGAATACCTTGATAAAGTTAGAAAAAGAGAAGTCGGCATCTCCTACAAAGCCTTCATTTTCCTCTTGTCGATCCACTTCGCCGATTTTGCAGTCGTTGCAAACAAAGTGCAAAAACAAACCAACAGTCAGAGCAAGATCCTTGCCCTATTCGACATACGTAAAACAGTCTTCGGTGAAAATAGAAACAGAAAAGAAAGTGTCACAGTTAAGAAGTGTATTTGAATCCTACAACACTGATTCACAAAAGCCAACTAGGAACTTTACTCCGAAATCTAGACGATTTATTAAACAAGGGAGTGGTGAGGAAGATTTAATGGAATCTTCTAACAAAAGAACTAATGGAGATAAAAATCTGTCTTACAATATAGGATCTTTTGACTGGGTAAATATGAAAGATTCTGTTAAAATGGAAAAGTGTGAATCCACTAGTACTGATAACGATGTGAACTCTACATTTACTCAAGATATGAATAGTTCCTTAAATCAAGAACTCAAGAAGAATGGCAGGGTTAAAGAATACTCAGATGCTTGCTCAACGCAAAGACTTAAGAACAATGAGATTAATGAATCCTCATATACCTTAACTCAAAAACTTCAGAACATTAGGGATAATGAACACTTAAGTCAAGAACTCAGGAGGATCAGTGGGACTGATAAAGACTCAGATGCGTCCTCCAACCAAGTAGATGCTTCTATCATCCCAGACAGTGATATCTGTAGTGCTAGTGATAATGTTCCTGCAAACTTAATTGAAAGTGGAGCAGACAGCAGTCTATTAGGTAAGGTAAAGGATAATATTAGAAAAGAGCATGACGATGTTCTTTCCTTCAGTTGCATGAAGCAGAACGATGAACGGCCACATGGTACTGAAAATCATGAAGATGAAGTGTGTGATGTTACAGAAGAAAATAACCCTGAAATTCAACCGTGTGACAACACACATATTCAAGAGGAATCAGAGCTTCGTAAAAAGAGCCGCAAACTAGTTACGGCATTAGAGAACATGGAGAGAGATATCCAAGAGATGCAACAGTCTGTTAGACGTTTGAATGATCACTACCCAATAGTATCTGTAGATGAAAGCGACTTGGTGTGCCGCACTAGTTCAGAAATGGAGGAAACGCCATTGACTCCAGGTAAGGATATATGCAAGGGTGTGCATGCTACTGCTATAACTGAGCCACTGGATTTACATGAAGATAATTTACATTTGTCTCTGCAAAACAAAACTGTGCCTAGCAAAACTGCAGGGGATACTAAAAATATGCTGCCTGAATTTGAACATTTTGCTTCTGATCAGCTTGCTTTATGCGCAACCATGGCTTCTGACCCAATAATTAATACAGTACCAGAACACACATCTACATATGCAGCTCTTGCTGAGGTGACATTGCATGCTAAGGAATCATTAGTGCTGCAAAGCTGTGAAACTGAAGTATGCAAGAAGGATGATAACAATATAAGGTCATTAGATTTTGTAGACTGTGATCAGTTTCAAAATCAGTATCAAGAGATAAGAGAGCCCATTGACATACCTAATAAGAGCACTGATGAACATACAAAGAATTCCAAAAATGATTCTGAAGATGACCAATATAATGTTCATATTTCTTGCTTCAAATCCAATCCTTCCTCAGATGATATCTATGATAAAAGTGAAATTATATCACTTACGCAAAAAGATATTTCTCATACATTAGACACCATCCACATAGAATCTACTAAACTGCATAATGTTCAAGGAGACACTATCAGTGCAACAAATACATCATGTACAGGGAATATTGACAGACAAGAAAGCCTTTCCAAAGATGCTAGTTCAACTGACCAATCACAAGACTTACAGATATTAGGTTCTATTCAATCAGGAACCACTAACATATTGGTTACTGATCAACCAGAAACCACTAACATATTCAATACTATTCAACCAGAAACCACTGACATATTAGCCACTGCTCAACCAGAAACCACTGACATATTAGCCACTGCTCAACCAGAAACCACTGACATATTAGCCACTGCTCAAACAGAAACCACTGACATATTGGACATTGCGCAACCAGAAATCACTAACATACTGGACACTTCTTCTCCAGGAACCACTGACATATTGAACACTTCTGAACCTGAAACCACTAGCATATTGGACACTTCTCGACCAGAAACCACTAACATATTGGACATTGCTCAACCAGAAACCACTAGCATATTTGACATATTAGACACTGCTGAACTAGAAACCGCTAGGATATTGGACACTGCTCAACCAGAAACCACTAACATATTGGACACTGCTCAACCGGAAACCAATATATTGGATACTGCTCATTCAGAAACCACTAATATGTTGGACATTGTTCAACCAGAAACCACTAGCATATTGGACACTTCTCAACCAGAAAACACTAACATATTGGACATTGCTCAACCAGAAACCACTAGCATATTGGACACTGCTTATCCGGAAACCACTGACATATTAGACACTGCTGAACTAGAAACCGCTAGGATATTGGACACTACTCAACCAGAAACCACTAACATATTGGACATTGCGCAACCAGAAACCACTAACATATTGGACATTGCTCAACCAGAAACCACTGACATATTAGCCACTGCTCATCCTGAAACCACTGACATATTAGACACTGCTGAACTAGAAACCGCTAGGATATTGGACACTGCTCAACCAGAAACCACTAACATATTGGACACTGCTCAACCGGAAACCAACATATTGGATACTGCTCATTCAGAAACCACTAGCATATTGGACACTGCTCAACCAGAAACCACTAGCATATTGAACACTGCTCAACCAGAAACCACTAGCTTATTCGACACTGCTCAACCAGAAACCACTAGCATATTGGACACTTCTCAACCAGAAACCACTAGCATATTGGACACTGCTCAACCAGAAACCACTAACATATTGGACACTTCTCAATCAGAAACCACTAGCATATTGGACACTGCTCAACCAGAAACCACTAGCATATTGGACACTGATCAACCAGAAAACACTAGCATATTGGACACCGCTCAACCAGAAACCACTAGCATATTGGAGACTTCTCACCTAGAAACTACTAACATATTGGACAATGCTCAACCAGAAACCACTAACATATTGGAAACTGCTCAACCAGAAACCACCATCATATTGGACACCGCTCAACCAGAAACCACTAGCATATTGGAGACTTCTCACCTAGAAACTACTAGCATATTGGACACTTCTCAACTAGAAACCACAAACATATTGGACACTGCTCAACCAGAAACCACTATCATATTGGACACTTCTCAACTAGAAACCACAAACATATTGGACACTTCTCAACCAGAAACCACTAGCATATTGGACACTTCTCAACCAGAAACCACTAGTATATTAGATACTTCTCGATCAGAAACCACTAGCATATTGGACACTTCTCAACCAGAAACCGCTAGCATATTGGACACTTTTCAACTAGAAACCGCTAGCATATTGGACATTTCTCGACCAGAAACCACTAATATGTTGGACATTGCTCAGTCAGAAACCACTAACATATTGGACACTTCACAACCAGAAACCACTAGCATATTGGGCACTTCTCAACCAGAAGCCACTGACATATTGGACATTGCTAAGCCAGAAACCACTAGCATATTGGACACTTCTCAACCAGAAACCACTAGCATATTGGACCCTTTTCAACCAGAAACTTCTAGCATATTGGACACTTCTCAACCAGAAACCACTAGCATATTGGACACTTCTCAACCAGAAACTTCTAGCATATTGGACACTTCTCAACTAGAAACCACTTACATATTGGACACTGTTGAATCAGAAACCACTAGCATATTGGCCACTGCTCAACCAGAAACCACTAGCATATTGGACATGTCCAACACTGCTCAACCAGAAATCCCTAACATACCAAATGCTGCTAAACCAGGATTAACCAACATATTGGACGCTATACAACCAGATACTGCAAACATAATGGCCATTGTTCACCCAGAAACCACTAATATATTAGACACTAATATCCTAGAGACCACAAGTGTTTTAGATACAGTTCCATCAAAAATCTTTGATTTATTGAACACAGAAGAGTCAGACAACACAGACATAGTGAAGACAGTTCAACCGAAAAATACAAGAGACTTACTAGACAGTTCAGAGGTAGAAACCACTGAGCTCCTAGATACTGCTAAAACAAATACCATCAATGTGTGTGGCAATGTTGAACTAGATACAATACCAATACCTGAAAGTAGTTGTACATTAAATACTAGCTTATCACAAGTCAGTAGTACTGTAAGTCACCCAGAAACTTTTCATTTACCTTGCACCATGCAAACAGAGGACATTGAAACTGGGAACACTGATACATCCAGCAATCTACTAGAAGACACGAAAAATATATCCCAAACAGTGTGTGCAGTTCTGCTTGATAACATTCATGCAAATACTGATCATAAAATAGTTGCTAGGGAATCAGTTGATGCAAATCTGCCAAGTAAAATCAAAACAAACTTTGAGGAAGCATTGGATTCCATTCTAGATAGTAATGATGCAATAAATGAGAGTCAGTCTGATGCTTCTGGAGACACTATATTAATGGAAAACATTCAAACAAAAGCTCCCCAAATTGGTAATATATCAGATACAATCATGTTTGAAAATACATTTCAAGTGGATTCTCTTAATTCAGGTTCAGCTGATCAGTTGGCCAGCATCAAAACAAATACTCTGATGGAAAAACACAAGTTGGAGTCAAAAGAAGATTGGGATAAGAGTCACATATCTACTCTGGCTGATACGTTAACTGGCAGAAGCGTTTCTAATAGTCAAGGAACAACAGATGTCGAAAAACAAACCAATTATCTGGATTCACAAGAAGGGGAAGCAATCAGCACAGAACTTCCTGGGGATAATTATTTAATTACGGTAACAGAGGATAAATTTCCGGATCGAATATCAGATACTTCAGGACATGAATCTGAGTTAAATAAAAACATCTGTGATTTACCCAGGGCCTCCAACTCTGATTTCTTTATTGGTGGATGTACTGATGATCAAAATCCTTCTGATTCAGGGGACTGTGTTTCTTCACCTGAAAACAGACATACCATCCAGGCTGAAATGTCGTCTTCTGTAGAACTTGTAGAAAATGTACATTTCTTGCCAGATATTCAAGGAAGAACCATGCAGCAGACCCAATACTCTGCTTTTCAAGACAAGGATATAGACTCTGACTTTGGAACACCTAGTGCTCCTGGAAGTCTCCTCTGGGAAGATACACATCAAGATTTTGAGGAAGATGTTCCTATTCCATGCACATCCCGACCAAATTCCTCACTAAGTTTTCATCATGAGAAAGATGAAACTGTGGAGGAAGAGAGGGGTTCACCTTGGTCCTTATTTACAGCCATCAAAGAATATGTTAGTTCGAGGTCTGCATCGCCACTGGACATGTTTGTTGATGAGACTTTAGCACCTGCTGAAGCATCTGATGAGGAAGAATTTGTTTCTCTTGAACCATCTGTTGTCCAAGAAAACTTGGACAACAACAACAGCTTTGAATCAATACAAACAAATTCTTGCCCTGCCCTTATTCATAAAGAAGAAATCGAAACACCATGTGAAACAACTCAAAACGATGTAAACAAATCAGTGGATAGTTATGCAAAACCCCCAGACTACCTTCCACTACATAAAATTAATGTTCCCTCAATGACACCGATGAGGTCTACAGGGGAAGAAGTCAGTGAAGCAAGTGAGTCACTGACAAGTTTTACTAATGAGGAATCAAATGATTCTATATATGAAACTCCTGATGCCCCACCAGAACTCCCTCTAGCTGAGTTGTCTATTGAGAATATGAGCTTTACTTCAAATGACATTGAACACGAAGCAACCTTCAGGTCTTTCACGCTCATTAATGAGGAATTAAACGCTAGTTCTAATGACCAAATGCAGAACATACAAATTCCTTCTGAAATAGACGAGTTTGGCAAAAGGTCTGCCCAGGAAGTGCTAGCTCAATCAACACAGGAAATTGTGAAGAATTACAATTATGAAGATAAGTGTTCTCTCTTAACTCAAAGTGATGACCCATGTCCTGTGGATGCAGACACTGAGATCTCGCTCCTATCCCAAAATGAAACAAATACAGAGAGATCTAATGACAATAGTGGTATTCACATATCTAGTGCTGTTGATAATATGGCTTCTGATATTTCCTTAGAACAATGCAGATTAGGGGATCAGGTGAGACAAGATGACATAGAAGATCATGTGATAAAGGACAGTCCTCCGCCAAGCCTACACATCACACAGACGGCATCGGAGGATCAAGCCTCTGAAGTTCAACAGGCAGATATTCTCATGAAGGAATCCGGAGTTGGCCTCACATCAAAGACTTCGGAGTCTAGTGTATCCTTAATAGAAAGAAGTGAAGTATTACCATCTGCAGATGAATGTGATAATGATAATAGTGCTATAAAAACAAATGATAACAATATAACAGTAGGAGACACAGAAATACCAGATATTCAATGTGGAGAACAGGGAGTGGTAAATTTTGATACACAGGAAATAAATGAATCTAAAGTCAATAATTTACCAAGTGTTGTTGTAGGAGCCTTTTCAACTGAGGATAGTGATAAGAAAACTATATCGACATGTGAAGGCGAAACTAGCACTGAAGCAGCTGCTCAGGAAAGTAGTTGTGAATCAGATTCTGATGATGATATGAAAATTGGACCGATTCGCGGCTTTCGTCCTCTGATAATACCTCTTTCACCCAGTCCAACGAAATCACCTGTAACCACTTCAGACAGCGACTCTCAATCTGAATCTGATGTAACAACTGATGAAGATGAAATTGATATTCCTAGCAAGAAACCTAAGGTTAAATACAACAAACCAGCACGCAGCCACAGCAGCAAACTGCACACCATCCCTGAACTATCAGAGGATGAGGAGGAAGAGGTGATGCCTGTCAGACCTCCGAGACCAAGACGACTTTCACTTGGGAAGAGACATCTCTCAGATAAAGGCGTTGAATCTCCTGGCACTCCCTCATCTGTGAAGAAGATCGGTAGTCCATCTTCTCCCCATACTCCCAAATTTTCACCAGATTTCTCATTGTTTGGAAATGTTGAAGAAGAGCAGTCATCATTGGACGAAGACAATGTATTTGAAACGGAGGAAAAACCAAAACCGATGAAGAGAATGTCTATGTATCCTTCTAACTGTGTATATTCAACTTCCAGTGAAAATGACGACTCTGATGATGAATCCACAGTCATGTATGGACGACATTATGGGTCCTGTTTCAGATCCCCAAACTCTCCAGAGATGATAGAACAAGACAGTTTGGAATGTGATGAAGATGATGAATGTGCTGAAGATGATGAGGAACCAGTTGATTATTTTGAGATGAGAAACAAGGCTTCTGTAAAAGCTAAAGAAGAAGTAAAACTGATAGAGGAGGAACATGAAGTTACACCTAGCAAAAAAGAAACAGATTTCCAAGAAAACAGACCTGCTATATCGTCAGGCTTAAACTTTGATGATGATGCCCATGAGGAAGGCAAGTATTATCCACCTTTGGAAACTCTCATGATCCCTTCCCAGACCTCTTCTGGAGACGAGGAAACAGGCAATGCAGAAGCCGATGGCTCTCCTCTTGAGGAACCCGAAGAGACTGAAAACCAGCCTGCTTATGTCATCACTCCTCTTGGGGAGGAAAGCATTCTCACAGACCACACCTTTGTTCCTCCGATGGAAATGTTGCACATTCCTAAGCTGCAAGTTGCACCTTTAACCTTCGAAGACGTCGATCTTCCACTGACACCACGATTCCCCTCTGTAACCTGTTCAGAACAACAAAACGAAACAGAAAGTCTTGGTTTTGATGCGAAGGAGAAAAATACAATTTTACAAGGCATCGCTTCCCATGCAGAGCACATGCAAACTAAAGAAAATGATGGATTTGCTGCAATAGCTTCATGTCCACTCCAAGAAAGGAATCATAGTAAATCCGAAATACAGGAAGAGTTTATAGAAAGTTCAGATAATAAAGGTTTACCTAATGTGGATGTTCTATGTGTGTCAGGAACTGATGGACTGGACAAAATAGTTGATGAAAATCTGAGTAAGGATACTGATGACATGCAGAATGCCAATGAAGTGACTGGTGAAATAAGTGATGCAGAGAACAATGTGATAAAACCATCGGGTGAATCAGCTGACATTGCACTTACCAAAGGTCAGTTGACATTTTTTCAGGGTGGTGGACTTCAGCAAGTAGCACGATCGTTTGCAGTCACAAATTCGCCCAAAAAGGAATTAGTACAAGGTGAGAATTCAGCTAACATAGGTGACACACCCTTTTCCTCCATAGATGTAGATGTTGAGAGTAATGACCCTGTCCTTGACCCTCTTGACCAAAAACCTACACAGCAAGACCTATGCAACCAAAGTGAAATGAATACAACAGCATGCAATGAAGATAGCCATAAAGATACTGATTTCAGTTCAAGCAATGTATTTCAAGCACAGCCATGTCCATGCCCTCGTGAAGGTCTGGCGAAAGTGAGTGAGCATGAATCACCAGGTGCAGATTTTTTCCCATCATCAAGTGAGATCTTCACAGTGACAGCAACAAGTGACCCATTTTTCACGGTGACGGCAACAAGTGACCCATTTTCATCGAGAGAAAATGGAATGGGTTCTCTATCTTGGACTACAGATCCGTTTGATGAGGAACAGAATCTAATTGGCCTAGATTTCTGTAATTCAGCTGATCGTAAGCCCAGTGAGGGAAGCCATACTGGTGTGCATGACGCAACCTTGTTATCTCGAAGAGACAGAAGGAAGCCAGGTTCTCCTGTAAAAGTATTAGTTGTGTCTCAGAATCCGTCCGAGGAGTTCGTACAAGACCGTGAGTTCCCATTAAGAGATAGGAAACAGCAATGTCAAAGCGACATGGCTGAGAAACAGTTGGATATTGCCTCAAATTTTGACATTCTGTCAGATGTCAGTGAAATATATGCAAGTGATCAGAGACCCCTAGATGGAGCATTTTTATATGATGATGAAACGGCTCAAGACACATCATCGGTTCCCCTCCAAAGTGATTTGGATATATTTACTCAACTGGAAACTGATCTTAGTGATGCAGTGAAGTCTGAGGAGGGTACGCAGCTAATCAAATTATCAGATGAATTAAGGGAAGACATAGAAAAACACCCAAGTGTAAATGCTAAACAAATGTTGCCTGCGAACTCTGACCAGGAAGCAATTAATGATTTTTCTTCTCTTATAGAAGTCGCAGATAATACATCTCAAAATCTAAAATATGGTAACGACGTATCCACAGCAAACATGTTTGATTCCAGTGACGTATATGCAACAGAGTATACATGCAAGGAATCATCTGATGATACGACTGGGTTGGATGTTAAATTTATTGATATCGACGAACAACCTGTCCATTACATGAAGTCTGAGGATGTAAAATCTGATTCATCAGCAATATTATTTAACATTTCAGATGATAATCTGCAAACTGAATCAAATATGCTTATCCCACAGGCAGCTGAATCTACCTGTGTAACAGATCTTCTGAACATAGACGACTTTTCATTTGATGAAGGTCCGAGTGATGTGATTTCAGAGAAGCAAAACATTAGTCTTCTTGACTCTGACTTTGAAGATTTTATGCGAAGTGATTCGACCAGTAATAACGACAATGAAGCTGGATTTACTAACAATTCAATAATTAATGAAATAATGACAAATGCCTGTCACCAAGCAGTACCCGACGCATTTGAATCTAACACTCGGGAAGTGACACCTCACACTGATTTTCTTACAACGGGATTTACTGAAGACAATAATATGCTGAAAGTTGAGGAACTAGATTTTTTTTCTTTGCACGAGGAAAGTCCAAACAAACAGTCACAACATCAAACGAGTGAAGATTCTGAGGAATTGGAGGAATTTTTATCTTTGACGAATGTACAAAATGAGTGTGCGTGTGAAACAGAACCGCGAGTGGCTGGAATCCCCTCAAGTGAAGCCACAAAATATGATAATCTTATTGTTTCCAGTGAGACGGGCGGAGCGAACGCTTTGGAAATCCCAGAGCTTCCGCCAGTTACGGGAGCAGATAGTCTATACAAGTATGGGGTGAGGGATGACCTAATTTGGGGTGAGCCAGACAGACATGAGAAGGATGCGGAAGCTCAGTCCGAGGTCAGTTGTGACAGAACACTTGAGAGCTGTGGTGTCGGTGACGTAGCCCCGGAATGTCGGAACCAAACACCGCCTTGTTCAGCTGACATTCCCAATGTCTCGCGTGGAAGTCATGAACATGTAAAATCTCAGCTTGTTGAGGGATTAGGCTTATCGATTACTTCCAGTGAATTTGATACTCATGACACGGCAGTTTTTCATGAAAAAGCACAGGAAGGGACTGGGTGTCTTCCCTCCCACTCCGAAGGGAAACAAGAGAAAGGATTTTTTTGTGAATACAGCAATCAAACCACACAGCAAGTACAAGGAGCTAACGTAAAGAACAATTTGATAATTGAAAATGATAGTGATAGTGAACTGTGTATGGTAACAGCGAAGGATGAAAATGAGCCTGCAGACTATGACAGAGAGAGCACTTTGTCGGAAATTTCATCTACCATTTTTGAAAGTGTACGAGAGTCACTTCCTGTTCTTGACCCAATAGTGGCAGAAAAACTTAATTTAGTTGAAGGTACATCACTCACACAGTCTGATGAGCATCCTAAAGAGGACGGAGAGCACTTAAAGCTCAGTGAAGGTTCCCCTATTCGATGTGCAAGAGATATAGTGCACGATAGTTCAGAGGACATTATAACTGTTGATACACAAATCCAAAACAACAATATTCGTAATGATGATGACTGTACGTTAACTTCTGATGACGTTTATGAGGAAGACAAAAATAAAAATATAGATAGTTCTCAGGACATTATAACTGTTGATACACAAGTCCAAAACAATAATACTCGTAGTGATGATGACTGTAATTTAACTTCTGATGACGTTTATAGGGAAGACAAAAATAAAAATATAGATAGTTGTCAGGTAGAGAGGGATGATGACACACAGGTTGATCAGATTAACAATGATTCACAGTGTGTAACCGAAGAGTCGAAAAATGATGATAATGACCACTCAACATCATCAAATCGAACTAGTATTGTTCTTGATGAATTTCAGCAGATGCTGGAAAAGGAAGGTTCAGAATGTTCATCATTTGCCGATTTATCTGCAGATGAAGAAGTAGGAGATTCAGGTTTCAGTCCTTCAGTTTTTGAACAAGACCAGCTCACTGGAACAGGAATTTCAAAGACCCTTCTAAAGCAAGGTGAAGAGGAGGAGTCTCTCAGTTCACAATCTTACCGTAGTTTTCTAGAAGAAATCCATGGATTTAGGACACACTCTAGGGATTCTGAGAGCTCAAATGATGAAAGAGCTCCAAAGGCTGATGCACGTTTTGAAGGCAGCAAAGTGAAAGTTGACCGTCAGCCAACAACTGAACTTGTCACTTTGAGAAAACAGTTCTGGGATTCTGTTGCAGCAGGTGGCACTGGACCTGTGGACTCGAAAACTTCATCAAGCTCTGACTCGACTGATATTGTAAGTCAAGCAGATGACGTTTCAAAATGTGGAACAATCACTGGAGAGCAAGATGAAGAATTCACAAGAGGACATACACCCGAAGCTGATGACGTGTTTGAGGATGCTGTTGATGAGACACCAGTGGGGTTAGTAGGGAGACTGAAGGCTGTCTGGAATAGCTTTTTCATGGGTGATAAGCAGTCATTGGCCACAGAGGATAATAAAGAAATGTCTGGTGATGATGAATGTCTACGTGATATTGCAGACGGTGAGAGCTTGACTGATGATCAAAAAGAAATGTGGGAAAACCTGAGAAATTCTCCAAACTGTGATCGTGAGAATGTATTAAAGAGCAAAGTGAAAGAGAAGGCAGTGCAAAGAGACGGTGTTAGTGGTGAAAACTGGACGTCGTTGGAACAGGACAATAAAGATGTTGCTATACATGAACATTCATTTTTAGAGGAGAGTAAGAAAGGGGAGGAGGACTCTGAATCTGATGAATGGAAAATATTGATGGAAATAAGAAATAGAAATGAAAAGGCACAAACGTCACCTTCAACTCATGAACAAAATCAGAGAAATGATTTAACAACGGATGCAACGCCCTTTAATGAAACTGCCGAGGAATTAAGGCAGTTATCATGTGAGTCTTCCAGTGATGCTGAAGAACCATCTATTGGCGATGCGTTTATGCCTCGGAAAAGTATGAGAAAGATCAAGCGGGGCACAGTACAAATGGGAAAACAGATATGGGAAATGAAATATACAAACCCAGAGCCTGTAGGGGACACCACAAAGAATGTAGAGCCAAAAAGTTCTATGCAAGACACTGCTGAGCCTCTCGAGAAGGAGAGTTCTGAAAAATATGCATACAGGACACCAAGTCTTCGTAAAATAGAGAGAGGTATTGTAAAAACGAGGAAAAATCAGTGGGAAGGGAAGTTAATGGAACTTGATGAGGACAGTCTTCTCGAAAATAATGAGGAACAGAACTTAGAAGAGACTGATGAAAATGCTTTAATGTCCAGTAATGACACCCGATCACCTGATGAATCTCCTAAACTTCATCATAAAGGATCCAAAACTAAACAGCCAAAAGGCTACAAGCTAAGTGTGAAAATTCGGGAAAGGACTGTGGTAAATGCTAAACATATGTGGGAAGAAAAAGAAGCAAGGATGAAGAAGGAAGCTGAGGCTACTAGAGCTCATCTATATGCTCTTGGTCTCGATACTGAAAACAATAAGAATACAGTTGGTGATGAGTTACTTCCTTCAGGACTTCCTGAAGAAGGTGCAAAACTCAGAGGAAAGGATGATGAAAGAACTGAGCCTGAAAATACTGATACTGCTTGCTGTCAGGAACCAATCGAAGAACTCGGCATTGAAGAGGGTCTTGTGCACAATAAGAAACAAATGTGGCAGAATTTGTGTGAATCAGAAAAGAAAATTGAGACAAAGGTGCTGCCTAGCAAACCAAAGAGTAAGAAAATCGAATGGTTGTTCAATGAAGAAGATGCCAAAGAAGCACAAACTGGAAATACTCCAAAGCCAAACCAAGCTAGCGATGTAGAGGTACTAGAGAGCATGGAATTGCATCCACAAGCAACAACTGTAAAAGCTGAAGGTGATAAGAATGACAAGATTGATCTACAGCCTGACTATGGGAAAGCTGAGGAGAGGACGGCAGTGTCTGGAAAGGACTTCTGGGAAGGAATAAAACCTGAGCAAAGACAAACTCAAAATCTTGGCGACAGCAAAGCTTCAGAATCGTTACCCACTAACCAAACTGAACAGGCTGTCACTGCATCATCAGAAGCAACTATTAAGGAAACCAACTATGATGACACTTCGGAAATTAAGGGCAAAGGACATGTAAAAGCCAAGAAGGAAATGTGGGATGAAAGATGGAAAGAACTAGAAGAGAAACGGAAACATGAAACGATTAGTCAAAGGCAGGCATCATCAAGACGAATAGAGAATAAATTAGAAACAAAGGGAGTCACGCCTCTAGAAACTCTAGAAATAGAAGTGACATGCGAGGCAGACGCCACAAATACGGAAGAAAACACATCCACACAAAAGCCGGTCACTGGCTACCAGCTCAGCATTAAGCTCAAGGAAGGAAGTGTTGCAAAAGCCAAATTAATGTGGGAAGAGCAAGAAACAAAAAATATACTGGAAACAAAAACATTTACACAAACGAAGAGCTCTCAGGAAAGATCTAGATTTCTGAATGAAATTCAAACAGGAATAGATATTAAGACTACTAAAATACCGATCAAACAAGAGGAAAATGATCCAAAGTTTCTGAAAGAAAATGAATCCATCGCGGATGATCAGCAAGAAGCCCCTCTACAGGTTAATTCGGAGATTAATGAAGCTTCCGAGAGTCAGTTAGTACCAGTAAGTGAATCAAGAAAATTATGGGAAGAACGAATATCCAAGAACGAATCGTTTCCTCCAAAATCCGAACCTGTAATTGGTGAATCAAAAACCGGAAATAAAGTAGTACAAGTTATACAATCACTGAATAACTCTACGGCAAAAAGTGTTAATGAAGATCCACGTCTTAGAAATTTTAATTTCTCCTCAGTGGACGTTGAAGTTGGCAGTGAGACACAAAGCACAGGGGAGATTAATTCCGAAATGGATCAGAATGACTCGGATGAATCGTCAGAAAGATCTAGCATCACGGCTTGTGAAGGTAGTTTCACAGCTGGCAAGAAGGTATGGGAAGATAGAGTGGTTGAAATATGTGACAATGTCCAAATGAAACCTGATTATAAACTTGACTATCAAAATCCTGATGTTGAGCATCTTGCAAAAACTTTTGATAAAACTGAAGAAGAGCCTACAATATGCAGTGAAACCCATGAAAATGATAAACTTATGAGAACTCTAAGTGTTGAAGTCGATGATGGTAGTGTTAGTAGAGCTCGAGACTTTTGGGAACAATCCAAAACCCAAAACTTCGCTGCTGTTAAAGAACCTTCAACTAAAAACTTTAATAGAATACAAGAATCTGAAGTACAGATCGGTAAGGTGGAGAAAGACCAGGTGGCAGAAGCTCGAGATTCAGAACAGAAATATGAGGAAATGACACAAGTTCCATCCATTCCAAAGGAATCTTATATAGGTGCCAGTAAAAGAGCATTCTGTGCCACTATGCTGTTAGATTTTACAGCTTCTGATACTAATGATCTTTGCAGCAAAAAGAATGCTCCAGAACAAATGAACAGTGCAATTTCATTAGTTCAAGATGAAGCAATGGATTCATTAAAGAGTGTTGATGAAGAATACTATGATGCTCTCAGTCTCGAGGCCAACATCCCTACAGAGGAATCAGCATTCCATCCAAACAGTGATGAAATTGTGCTAGAAAACCAAGGTCAAACTATCATTTCACAAAGACTGCCAGAAGTGAGTATAGAGGAGGAAGGGATTAGTAAAATCATTGGGGAATCAACTGGCAATATAGTCAAACAGAAGAAAGATTACTGGGATAATATGATTACAAAGAATCTAGAAGAACCAAAAACTTGCAAAGCAGTTGCAAAGAAAGAAAAAGTTATTAGTGAGCATTATCTCTGTGAAGATATTAGTCCATTAGATGACATTAGTATATCAACAAACTCGGGCAGTCCCCCTCCTCTGCCTGTAACACAACCACCAATACATACCGAAGCAACCCGGGAACACAAATCGTCCCCACATTATTCTCAAGGAGCAAAGGAAATATCAGAAAAGAGAATGTATTGGGATAATTTATTTGCCAAGAGGAAAGAAAGCGAAAGAAAACCGGTAGTTGATAAAGATAATGATCTTTCAATTGTAAACCAAACTGAAAATGATACAGGAATAAGTGAAGCGAACACAAGTACGGGTGATGATGCCACAAAGCCTACAGCTGTTCCTGCAAATGTTCAGCCGCCTGACCATTTAAAAGAACCTGAGAAAGATACAGAAGAGTCTGACAGCAAACCAGTCCATTTTATACCTGAAAAGACATTCGTCGCACAAAAGAAAGGTTTCTGGGATGACCTGATTGCCAAGAAGACACGTGAGCCAGGAGTCAACACGACTTTCATTGTGCAGAGGCCTCTAGTATCCACGCATGGCCGCCAAGACCGAAGCTGTCCCGTGGAAGTAACTGGAGGAGATGAAGATATATGTACCGAGATCAAAGAGACCAAAACAGTGCTTGGTCGGAAACTGAGTATTAAAATTAAAAGCGGGATCGTACGAGCTAATCAGCGTTTATATGAGTCAGGACATGAAGATGAGTTTACATTGTGGAAAAAATCAAAGGAACGTAAGAGACTAGGGAAGCATGATTTAAAACCAGCGCCTAGAAAAAGTTCCCATTCTGTTTCCCCCCAGAAGCAACGTGGGCCGGAATTAGTAAAAGATCAGCCGAGAGTCGTCGAATCACCAATTCCAAAGCACAGGAAGCTGAAGAAGGGTCGTCCGATATCCCCGAGACCTCAAGACGACCAATCTTCGTCCGGTGAAGACGAACAAAATGTTCCAAGAGTGCGAAGGAAAACGAGTGTGAAGATACAAAAAGGTTTAGTAAAAGAGTACAAATCCCAATGGGAATCTAAATGTTCAAAGTCTGGGTTTTGGACTTGGAAAAGGCACCGCTTACAATACTCGCCGTCAAAACCGAAATCATCTCCGGTGAAAAGGTACACTAAAAGACATTCATCTCCTCGTAAATCTCCGACACCAAAGGCTAGCTCAGTCAGTTCATATACAGGAAGGTACCTGGACACGCCTGACACAATACCCAAGTCACCAACAGAGACAAGGAAAGAATGGGACCAAGAGATGCCTCCCCCTCCAAGTCCTCCAGTCGATCGACCTCTAACGCCGGAGGAAACCGAGGAGTTCCTCCAGGACATCAGGGGAAGAGTGGCCAGCCAACGGAAAAGGTTTGATAGCCTTGGCAGCGTCATTAGCGAAAGCAGTGGGAATAGCCTGGACGCTGTGGATGCCCACACTAATCACACGGCCAAAAGCTCGCTTGATCTAGATGAAGACTACATCAGCTGTATTGTTGGGAAAGTAAGCAAACGTAAGAAACTGTGGGAGACGAAAGCAGAAGAAAAGAGCCCAAGAAAAAAGGAGAACAATCTAACCACCAAAGCGCAAGCATCAAGAGATCAAGATTTTGGAAAGCCTGAGAGTCCAACTCCCACAAGAATGAAGGGAAGAGGACGCGTGACCTATATCATCCACAGCACAATCGAAGGCGACGTCGTGCTTGAAACAGTCGACGGAACCTATTCATCTCACCAAGAATTATGGGATATTCAAACCAGGGAGCAGCAACACATGCAACTTCCGCAAGCATCTGGGGAGAGCATGAAGGTTGAGAGGAAGGGAGCAGATATCTCTGGTAAGTCCTGTAGACGAGAAATGTTACTCAAAGGAGATTAATTTTTGGCTGTAGCAGCGAGGAATGTAAAGCATGTAGTTCTGATGCTAATGCTATGGTGCCCTCAGCGTGTATCTTTTCTTTGTTGTTTTGAAATAACTGTTATTAGAGTGATCATCACCATAACTGTTTCATTACCTTAGACATTCATTGCCCACCGGCGTTGGTTACCGAAATTACGCTTATAATGACGGTAGGTTCGTCCATTCCTAATAAAGTTGCTGATTATGATATAGATAATTATAATACCACTGACAAAAGCAATAATGGTAATAACAACAATAGCGGCATTAATGATGGTGATGATTATGATAATGACAATGATAATACTACTACTAATAATAATGATAATAGTAATAATAGTAGTAGTAGTATAGTAGTAGTAGTAACAGCAACAACAAAACAATAATAATAATAATAATAATAATGATAATAATCATAATAATAACAAGAGTAATGACAATAATGATGATGATGATGATGATGATGATAATGATAATAATAATAATAATGATAATAATAATAATAATAATGATAATAATAATAATAACAATAACAATAACAACAATACTACTAATAATAACAAGTGCAACAATAGTAAAAAAATAATAGTAATTGTAATAATAATTATGATAATAATAATAATAATAACCTTAATGATAATAATAGTATTAGCCATAGTGATGATAATAACGAGTATAACACCAATTATCATTATGATAACTTTATTATCAGCAGAATGATGCTGATAATCATAAAGATAATGATTATAACAACATGAACAATACTACAGCTAACAGTAATATCAATAATATTAATAACAATAATGATGATGATGACAGTAATAAAGATATTATTAATGATGTTGATATGATGATGATGACAATAATAAAAATGATAATAACAACAACAACAATATTAATAATCATTATTATTACACCTTCGACATCAAGAGCTCCCTTCATAATAATTTCCCTATCTAGATTTCATGGTAAAAGAAAGAAAAAAAGAATTATGAGCCTTTATTTAACCAATTATAATACACTATTTCTCGAAGGTTTAATATGATTTCTCAATATAAACACTATGGAACATCTAGCAAACTGTCCTGCAATATTCAGCTTTTTCTTGGGGGGGGGGGAGAGGTTGGCCAGCATAATTTCTGGAGCGCCGCGAACCCCCCGTGGGAAAAAAAAGAGCTGTTCTAGGACAATTTTCAAGCTACAGCAAGAGCTACTGAGGTATAATTCAAGGGGAATTACTGGTTGGGAATGACTGTCTTAGAAACATGATGCAGTTGCTATTTCTTATATTTAGTGTGTTCGATTTGCTTAAACAATTATGCACAGCTGATTAATAATCATATAATAATAATAATGATGATGATGATGATGATACTGAGAATGATGATGATGATGATGATGATGATTATGAAGGTGATGGTGGTGGTGGTGGTGATAATAATAATAATAATAATAATAATAATAATAATAATAATAATAATAATAATAATAATGATAATAATAATAATATAATAATAATAATGATAATAATAGTATTAGCCATAGTGATGATAATAACGAGTATAACACCAATTATCATTATGATAACTTTATTATCAGCAGAATGATGCTGATAATCATAAAGATAATGATTATAACAACATGAACAATACTACAGCTAACAGTAATATCAATAATATTAATAACAATAATGATGATGATGACAGTAATAAAAATATTATTAATGATGTTGATATGATGATGATGATGATGATGATGGTAACAATAATAATAATAATAATAATGATGATGATGACAATAATAAAAATGATAATAACAACAACAACAATATTAATAATCATTATTATTATACCTTCGACATCAAGAGTTCCCTTCATAATAATTTCCCTATCTAGATTTTATGGTAAAAGAAAGAAAAAAAGAATTATGAGCCTTTATTTAACCAATTATAATACACTCTTTCTTCTCGAAGGCTTAATATGATTTCTCAATAAAAAAAAAGAGCTGCTCTAGGAGAATTTTCAAGCTACAGCAAGAGCTACTGAGGTATAATTCAAGGGGAATTACTGGTTGGGAATGACTGTCTTAGAAACATGATGCAGTTGCTATTTCTTATATTTAGTGTGTTCGATTTGCTTAAACAATTATGCACAGCTGATTAATAATCATATAATAATGATGATGATGATGATACTGAGAATGATGATGATGATGATGATGATTATGAAGGTGATGGTGGTGGTGGTGATGATAATCATAATAATAATGATGATGATGATGATGATGATGATGGTAACAATAATAATAATAAGGATGAGAGTAACAATGGTATTTTTTATCATTAGTGTAATGGTAATAATAATGATGATGATGATGATAATAATTAGTAATAGTAAAGGAATAGTAATGATGATGATGTTAATGATGATAATGATGATAATTGCATTGATGGTGATAATAATGATAATGATAATGAAAATTTAATGACACTAATGATAATGATAATGAAAATATGATGATAATAATAATTATAAAAATTATAATAATAATGATGATAATAATAATTATAAAAAATATAATAATAATGATGATAATGCAGTGATAATAATAATAATCACTGACTATTTGCTCTTGCATGATTATGCATTTACCATTAACAGCTTACTGTTCATGATGACTGCAATTTGTATGTTTATGTAGCCTTATCAGCTATATTATTTTATTGTCGCACTCTTTTAACCATTAGTTAAAGTAGTATTAACTGATTTTCGTGCTAGTGTAACAACCGTTAGACTATCTGCGGTTTGGGGAATGAAATACCAATTTACAATTGGAAATTAGAAATATGACAATATATATTTTTTATATAAATATAAAAAAAAGTGATTTTAGGCCACGAAATATATAAAACAGAGAAAAATATCAGCAGAAAAAAAATTTCAGTTCTTTTCACTTTGCAGAGATCAGCCGCGCTCATCCCCGGGGAGATGTGGATGAGCTGGTCACTGTTGCTTCCATCACACACACGACTAGTGATGCTGGGGATAATATACCGCCGGATGAAGAAACCCAAAGTCATTCTCCAGCCATTACGAACCCTAGCCCACACTCCAGTTCTTGGCCAAGCCCACAGTCTTGCTCTCCGATTCAAAGCGCCGGGGAACAGCCCATCGAAGCATCTGCAGATGCGGAGGAACCTGAGGCATCCGAAACTGCCCAGTACTACCAGTCCTACAAGCACACCTTTGCATCTGCTCGTAGTTTCTTTGAGAGTGTAACACATGACCAAAACGGAGTCGAACTCAACAATTACATAAAGTACGAGGATAGACATAAAAGTCTTAACGACTTTGTGGTTACTGAACAAGTAAATGTATCCTGTAACGACAGTGAAACATGGAATTATTCCTCACACGAACTGAACTCCCCCAGCAATAATCCCATTGAAAGTCCAGCGGCGGACACTGACCTAGAAGTTGATGCTGATACCGTGAAACATGATTATAATTCCCAAGACATGAATTATACTAGGCATTCAAGGAAAGAAGCACAAGATTGCGAGACTCGCCTGGTGGACAGCGGTTGCCAAACCGACGATGAATTCGACGACACTCCTCGAAGTCGAATATATCGTGTGAGCCGGGCTTGTCAGAGTGACCCTGAAAGCGACAACGAAACGTCGAGAGTGAGAGATCACAGTCCATCGCAAGATCGAGAAATACAAGTTTCTGAAGATGACCTTACCAATCCTCTAAAGCGTCGTCTACCACATGACTCTCGTCAATATGATTTGTTAGAAAGTCCTAAATCAAAGCGTCGGATTTACCAAAGGCGGAACAAACCCCAGACATTGGCTAGAAGTAAATCCTTGCCAGGAATAGATTTCGCAACCATTCCTGGTCCAAAGCATAATAGAACTACAATAAATCCACTGAGCAATTTTTGGTCGAGTGAGCCCGAAGAAGACAGACCCAGATCTTACAAATTCGGAATATCAGATTCATCTTCTCTTGTAGCGTCTCTCATGGACCTAGCAAGGGATTTACCTACAGCTTATCCTGACTCACATAACCAGGACGACTTAGAAGATCTCGATCATGATGTCTTCCAGCACTTCCCCCAGGGAGAGGTCCGTCTACATAGACCCTGCGGTCCCTGTTCCCTATCACGACCATTAACCTTGATCCTTGTATATTAGTTTTCATCTTTTTAAGTTGGTAGATAAATGTAGATGGCATTGAGTAGAAGTTTCATATGAACGTATGTCAAGTCTTATCTCTACTTTAGTTTCAAATATTCTCACCATGGATATAGTATTGTAAATTTCTGGTATGCACTCACACTATTGTGTCTATTATCCACAGGTGATACAGACGCTGAGCGGATGCTACAGGAGAGAATTCCCCCATATTCCAGTGAATGGGCGAACACAGAATCTTGGCAGAGTTCCCAGAACTGGCCAAAAAGACCTGATTTCTCTCCGGGAACTTCGCCGTCGCGCCAGTTTGCCCGAGTGTTTGGCTCTCCTACCGATCTGTGAGGGTGCCAGCCCCGAGTCAGGATCCCCGGTGGAAGTGATACGCAATCCCTTCCATCCCATGGACCAAATTACTGCCCAGCTGATGAAGGAATCAAGCGTGGATAATTGTGAAAATGATACTTACTGTATGTACAACAGTAGTGAAAGTATTAATTTATCTGCAAACAGTGATGAGAGTGAGAAACATAAACCAGTGTGCGATTGCGTAACCGAAAATGAGCAAATTGCTGACTCCGGTAAGGATGAATGGGATACTTACGGTGAGGCCACAACAGATTCCAATTGTGAGATCGAAGATGGCGTTACTGAAAGTAGAAACTGCGTCGAAGCAACACCTAATCCTACGTGCAGTGCGTATGGCGATGGCCTTGAGCGAGGGAAGACCGGTGAAGTTCTGACTTTCATCGTCGACACTGCCGGCGCTCAGCAAGGCGAGGTATGGCCGTCTCATTTATATTTTGATCATTATTAGTATCGTTATTGTAACACTTATCATTAGTATTTTTTTTATACTGTAATCATGTTTTCTATTCAGAAAAAAAATGATCCCCAGAAGTAACCTAAGTTGTTTTGTAGATGGCCGTGGCCCTCCAAAAATGTATCGTTGTCCCAATCAGTGACTATCGGCCTTTCCAGTAATTGTGATTCTTTCGTCAGCATAAGGACCTAATACTGCCCTTATAAATGAATATGCCAACGTCTTTATTTCTGCATAACTCGATATAATTATGACTATATTGTGGACACTGTGACACATGAAAATCTTTGAACACTAAGACTGGTCGACACGAGCGGGCAATATCGGTGGGCGTGAATAGAGTGACGTTAACGTCACAGGCGTCCAAATTACTCGGTAAACAAGTAGTTTAGCCGTTGTTTCCTAGTCTGTGACCACAGCTTTTAGGTGACTGCTATTGCGACCACCAGTCATGCCCGCTCGTTTGGACAGCTCTCGAGTAAATTGATTAATTGCCTTCTGTCACTCCAGG